TTTACACAACAAAAGCAGTGAGGTCTGTATCAAAACGAGGTCACCTCGAGCCTCGCTGCCATCCAAAGGTCAGGTCACTGAGCAGACAACTGTAAAATGGTCTATTGACTGCTTTCCAGTGCAAGCGACTGAGGTTCTTCCGATATTGATTATCAATGGCATCACTATCACCGCCTTTGCAAGAATCCGCCATCTACGCAAGCGCAGTACGTACCTCATAATAAACCTGACTGTGGCCGATCTACTGGTTGGTGCCATGACAGGACCTTTGTACTTTGTACTTTTTCCATGAGCACACACACACAAGAAAAAACAAAACAAAAAACGGCCAGGATTCCGACATTAGCTGCGCTATAAAGTTCACCTTGTCAGTAGCTTCCCAAGTGATTCTGTCCTTCATATTCTTATAGAGCGGCTACATGCAACACTTTTTTCCCCTCGGACATTGCTTAATTAGTAAATTCGTTTACTTCAAAATCATCATAGCTAACTGGATGTCTATAACTGTCCTTCTGAGCTCTCTCATGGCTGGCTTATATTTGAATGAATCAGATGCAGAATTTTTACGCCTGGGAATCATTTGGTGCTCTCACCATTCTTGTTCTCATAATCTCTTATCTCATTATTTCTGTAAATGTTCAAAGAAGTCCTCGTGTACAACATTATGGTTCAATTCAGAAAGAAAGAAAACTATCAGTAACATTGCAAGTGAATATATGAAAGATCATATCATGTCTTCATATCAGTAACATTATCATTAGTCACCGGAATTTCCGTTCTAACCATTCTGCCCCGGGTTATTTACGAATCCATCCCAGAGGATATAAAGGACAAATGACACAGTGTGTCAAGGTTTGATATTCATGATACTCTAGCTGTGATATATTTTGCCAGTTCCATAGTGAATCCTCTTGTATACGCCATACGAATGCAGGAATTTGGAAAAGCATTAAGAAACCTTGCATAAAGACAGGGTTAAGCAGAGAAACGATCACAGAGAGCCGAACAGAAAAGAGTTTTTCGTTCACAACCTGAAACTGAGTTGTAAACTTCAACTGGAAAAGACGGGGACGGAACAAACCTTCTTTCCAGGCGATCTGAGATCAAGAAACCAAAAAATGAAGCCAAAGAAATGTCATGATTATGTTTTTGTACGTGTGTCCTGGATGGAAAACGTCTACCACTTTATAAAGTTCTGTGTACATCTAGTCAGATGTCAGTCACATTTAGCCAGATGTTAGTCACAATTATAATTAGTCAGTTTTCGTTAAAGGTCCCGTAATACGGGTAACATTTTTCTTCAACTTGTCTTGCAACATTGTTCCATTGCAAGTTGAAAACGCATTGTTGCGCGCATTACCACGTTTGTGTCCAACTTGTCTCGCAGCAAAATACAGTGTTGTAAGTTGAGGCAACATGTTGCGCAAAGTACATTGTAGACTCGAGTTCTACTTTCTGCAACAAATTTTAGTTTTGCTGCTCGTATTACCACTGAAGCTATAACTTGTCTCGCAACAACTTTGAATTCAACGCTTGTGATTGGCTGTCGCGAAGCGCGGCAACGAGACAAAAACAAAACAAAAAACATGACGGGACGGTGAAGACGAGCCTTAATTCCAAGTAGACCAGTAACTCTCGGAAAGTCATCAATCTGGCCTGTACAAAGACCTCGAGGGCTATCATAGTCTTTGGGACACCTCGTTTGTCCCTTCAAAACAAGCAGCAAAAAAGGCAAAAGGGTTGGAAGAACTGTCGCAAAAATACAACTTTCCGCCTAGCTACCTGAAAAGACACTGAGCTTCATCTGAAAGAACTTCGCTGGAACGAAAAATTAAGAACAAAATGACGACCAGAAGTCGAAGTTGAAGCTCGTCGAAACGCTAAATTATTTGAAGGAAGTCGCTATCTTTATTTACACACGATTGACCAATCATACGTGTAGAATTCTGCAGACGTGCAACACTGTATTTTGCTGCGAGACAAGTTGGTCATAAACGTGGTAATACGTGCAACAATGTGTTTCAACTTGCCATGCAACGTTGTTGCGAGACAAGTTGAAGAAAAACTCCTTTTTATCAGTACATAGTTAGAAGGAACAATCAAAACAGCTGAAGTGTTCCACGTAAATACGTTTGAAGATTAGTTGTAAACTAATAATTGTTTAAATTTTATTGTGTCACCCAACATACGAACTCTTCAAAATTTTTGGCTAGCCTTGAAACATTTATTACAAATATCACGAGTTGGCTTAGAAGCTTTTTGATTTAATCTGTAACTTAATAATAGACAAGTTAACACCTTTGATTTAAAGTGCATGTGACATATTATTTTATTTGCTTGATGGTATCTACGTGAGATCATGATATAGATATCGAAAAAAATGGATATCGTTTTTTATTCACCGCGATTTAGCCATCTGAAAACGCAAAATTTCCCTTGCAGTTGGCTAAAAAAACCGATGGGGGTTAGGACCTGGGACTAGTCAGGCTGTGCGTCAAAACAAGAACGTAGGTCTACATATCTTCCGTAAATGTACCGTAAACTTACGTTTACCGTAACGACCCCCTCCCCCTCCCGCGGGACCTAGACCTAGATTCAATTATATATTTATTTTCCCAGTCAATAGTCAGATGAAAGTTACGTACGGTAATTTGATTTAAGGCCCTCCACAACAAGGAAAGGTATCGCTTGCCTCGCAACGTTGTAAAATGTCTATTCGTGCTTCATTAGTTAATGCTGCACCGTGTTAAAAGCTAAAACAAAACTCGAAGAATTTTCGTCAAGCTACAGGAATTTACTATGGAAAACTTGGATTCACATTAATATCATTTTCAACAGGAGCGTAGTTAGAGGAACGTTTCTCAGTAGGAATTAGCAAGGAGTGACAGGCCTGCACAACTTCTAACAATGGAAACTTTTGTACCATGTAATATATGACCCNGGCGGTTCTATCAAGTTCTAAAAGGCAAATCTGAGTTCTGGGAGATGTAAGACGGATACAAGAGAAGGAAGTCATTGTCATTAATCAAGCTTATTTCGTATGAAAGTAGAATAATCTTTGGTTTCCTTAAAAGTAGTCATTTTTGTAAAGACACGTAGAGACTGCACATACCGTTGCCGTACAGCAAAATATTAAACCATTTGAGTTTGGCGAGTAAAACACCATTGTCAGCCTAGTCCCTCACGGCCAAAGCAGCCGTAGTAGCACCTCACCGTAGCGTATCTTAAAGTCCCTAATGAGGTTCGCAGGCTCTTATCTTTTTCAGAGTGGTGCAGGTCACGCAATTTTCAATACATATGGGTAATTGACCAAGATTGAGGTCAAGATAGCTGGATTTTTTGCGTTTTTATCAGACCGAGACGTCGACGTCCATAAACACGCATAAAAATTTATATCCAGCCACCTTAACCGGACAAGCTTGGTCAATAAAAGATTTATTGTGTGGAAAAACAGACGCTACTTTCTTGCGGGACACCGCGGGTAGTCCCGGGCGGACAAGACAATGCTGGCTTGTCCGCTCGGGTAGCCAATCACGAACGTGGGCTTTTGACTTGTTCACTGTACCCAAAAAATTCGCGCCAAACGTAGCCTGCGAACGCAGACGTATTTTCGGCTGTCACTTGGTTCCGCCGAAAAATAACGTCTGCGAACCCGAGCCAGGAAACGATTTCTGTGACGTAATGACTTTTGTTTCTCCTTGGCCAATCAGATTCCATGATAGAATGAAACTCGAGTGCTCCTCGCAGCGAATACCTCGCGCACAGTCGCGCAGTAGTTCTGGGGTTATTTGAGCTAAACTGTGATTGGCTTAGAATTCCTACGTCACAGAAATAGTTTTCTGGCTCGGGTTCGCAGACGTTATTTTTCGGCGGAACCAAGTGACAGCCGGAAATACGTCTGCGTTCGCAGGCTACGCCAAACGCTGCCACAGCCATTTTGTAATGCTAGAATTTCGCGCCAAACTTTTAGAAAACAAAGTCTGAAATGAATTTTGCAGTCTACATCCGTATAACTACCAAGCCTTCAGTCTTATTCACCGAATAAGAACCTTTAGGACTAATGCAAGCGTACGAATCACCTTTAAAAAGCTACAAGTCAAAGGAATTTGTGCGCTTGCCCTCAGATTTGCATAGTAGCCAGCCAGTTTAACATTTAAACATAATTTTTATTTCGAAATATGGTATTTTTTAAGAATGATTTTTGTGCGATCACTACACATCGAAAATGTTCTGTGACTTTTCACTGCAATGACCCTTTTCACAGATAACTTTTCTCATTTACATTACAATATAATCTAGCCTGCAAGGTAATTTCGGGCTTTTTTGTAGTTTCAGCCCAAAATTGCCTCACATCCAACTTGGATTACATTGTAATGTAAATGAGTAAAACCAACAATTTATTTTATCTCAAAATTCTTGGCAGTTTTTTTTGCCAGCTCTGTAAGTTTTAATTTGATGCAGGAGTTTACAAGTCTACAGTTTAAACCGGACGCCCCGCATCGCTTGGACGCGAGACACCTTAAGGCGGACGGTAAACTTAATAAAAACGAACAGGACAACACAACATGGAGAGGTTCAAAATAATTTAATCTGGAGAAAAATATGGGCGTATATGGTCCATCGATAATAATTCCAGATAGGTATCAAGAGAAGTAGTGTACAATAGAGAGTAGTATCAAGGCTACCAGGTGTAGAGTCCCTCAGCCAGCTTTGGGTCACCATCAATTAAACTACACAGTAGTCATAAATACAACCATTCAATAAACAGTCCCAACCAAGAAATCGTTAAGTCTTTCTAGGACCTCATTTGAGTTAAGAGTAACTAATGCAATGGCCAATTTAAGTTCTTAAGCTTATGAATGAAGGAGTAGGAAGTAACCAGGTCAAAGAGAGCTCAGAAAAACGAGCTTTGAAACTTGCGAGGTTCTTGAAAGAGCCACGAGTAAAATCTTACATAAAAAAGAACGGGGAAACAGAAAAAGCACATGCAAATAGTCTAACTCAAACTCAAACCCGAGTATTTCTGTAAACACCGTGCTAGGATTGATGCTGTTCTATGAACAAAGGGTAAATCAACTAAGAAGCAGCAAAGGTAAAGCCTCATAAAGAAGCAACTTGCACGCGAAATTAGAAGTTGCCATTAATATCTAAAAAAGAGCAGAAAAATTACTTCCCCTTTAGGGGTGAAAATGGCAACAGCAGGCACGCCTAAAACATTCCTTAAAAATTACAATCTTAGTACACAAATCTACTTAAAGCTACTTAGTGCAAAAAAAAAGGACCTCAAAAAAGGCTCGAGCAACTTAATTGATAAAATACTATTGGAAGCATGCATAGCTATATTTGAGCAACATGTAGACTGCTCTCAGAGTTGTTCCACAGGCACTAGACCGAGTGAACTATAGCAAACTGTTGACTAGAACCAGGCAGCAACTTAACTCAAGAACTTGCCATAAAATTATACTCAAATAAGTCAATATATATATAATTTTCAAATACTTGGTTCTTGGGCACACAGGCACATGTTAGGGCACTGTCAGTGTACCGAGTCTGGGTGTGGCCTTACAAAACTGCTAGTTTTCTTTTCAATCCTTAATACAGCAAGATTACAGTGCATACTACAACAGCACTACGATCAATTGTCATAACTACCTCTAAGAGTTTTTTGTTTGATTAGCTTCATCCAATAGCATTGTGAGTAAGATGCTCAGAGCCTTGCTGGTGATGAGGTAGCATATGCCAACATACACCTGGCATACCACAATACCACAATACTATCCTGAATAATTTGTCAGTGAGTGGGTACAACAGATACACAGGCTATGAGAGTGATGCCAGTGAAGTGACCAGATAGGTGATAGGTACTTGGCATCTACACAGTTTTGTTTCAGCTGTAGGGCGTCTGCCTCCTCGGTGGGGGAGATTGACAACGAGCTATAGCATCATGAATTTGCATCTGAGCGCGCTGCAAAAAAAAAAAAGACTTCTTTTGAGACTACATGTAAATAAGGTGCTGTAGGACATTTCATAAGTCTAGTGAGTGACTTAGAAATAAACCTGATGTAAATGGGATTTATCAATAAATAAGTTTCCTGTTCCTTCTTACCACACCAGGATCCATGAAAGTCCATTGCAAGTTAATGTGTGCAAGATCCAGTCTGGGGTAACAGGATACCAAATTGTTCAACACAGCATAAAATTGTGACTCACCTGTCCACTAGCGAAGCTTTCTTCGATTACTATAATTGCCTCACTGTTTTCCGTAGTTTCATTGCTTGTTACGACTTTAATACGTACTCCTGTTTGTTTTTGCAGTTCTTTCACCTGACTCAGACAAAACAAAACAAAGTGAGAAGGAACTGAAATGTGAAAGAAGGACTCACAAGTTGAAAGACCCACAGGTCACATCAGTTTTCTTATTGAAGTCTAGTACAGTGCCAGAAATACCTGTTGGTCATCAGGCACTGTCTGACTAAAGTTGTGAAATTGTCTGACTTATGTCCAATCAATAGTCTCTAAAAATATATTTCAGTCCTTTGTCAAAAAAGTGTCATTAGATTCACTATTGAATGATGGTCTTAACCCGGAGCCTGTGATGTTAATTTCAAAAAGATGATTTATTTAGTATCTTGTTACTATTTCTTGTGGGTGTGGTTAAGTATTTAACTGGATTTATTACTTGCACATCGTCAAACACAAATTCATTACATGTACAGTGCTAAAAAGAAAACATCACTGGATCAACACAAGAAAGACTGAAACATTTAACCCACTGACTTAGCTGTTTGTAAAATCATTGCAAGGTTGTGCCCTATCAGTAAAAAATAGAATAAAAGGCTATGTTAAACTGCTTCTATCAAAGATGATGATGTTTCTACTTACATTATGTCCGTCTTTACCAATAAATCTGCCTATTATGTTGGGTTGGTTCTTGCTTCCACCTCTCAGAGGAATGAAAATTTCTATTTTCAGTTTAAGTTCACCAACATTCTCTCCAGAGTTTGTTTTATAGCCTTCTTCAGCAAGCTTACAGTAGACACAGTGTTGAGCCTGAAAAGATTTAGCAGACAAATAGTAATGGTCAAGATGTGGGCAGACTTTGTCAATTTCAGAATTTAGCAATCACTTTCACAATACAAATGCTGTCTTTTTTCGCAATAAATCAATTGGAAGATACTGAAGCAACAACAAAACTGATATACATGTAGACACAATTTCACTGACCCAAGGTTTCAAAGACCTGTTACTACACACTTGTAAATGAAGAATGTAAAACTGATTGCAGATCATAAGTGCATCATAAAGGGCTTACTGCATTGAGACATAACTAGACAATCCTAATACCAGAACGGGGAATAGTTGGTGACCCATGTAATACTCGTTTGAGAAAGATCACCGAGAATAAGACCAAGCTACCTTATTGGTACTTAATTTTTACAATTTTCATGATTGATTCACGAGAAATTAAAAAGACCAGTGAAAAAAATCCTTGCGAAGTTTAACCATGCAAAATTTAACACCCACACAGAAAATTCAAATCACAGAAAAAATGATCAACATGTAATAACAACAACATATACAGGATATGTATCGAAAAAATACACTATCTACTACCTGGTTTTACTGACAAGTTCCATTTTGTATCTTCTGTTGTGAGACAATGTTATAATGTTTAAAATGCATTTTGCTTGTTCCAGTTTATCTAGAAATTTTAACAAGTTCAGACCTTTCAAAAATAAAATGAAGTTGAGAATGCTAGAATAGTGAAATTTAATGCCCTTTTTCATATTTGCCTATTAAAATCACAAAACTAAAACCCCGCCAAACACTGTCTCACTAAATTCATGAAATTAAGTACCTGCAAAATTAAGTACCAATAAGGTAGAAGTAGTAAAACATACTTACAAAATATTGTTGCAGAGGAGTGCCAATGATCTCTATATACCTCTCTGGTGCATCACGATCCTTAGGAAACACATGGATATTTCTAGCTCCACTGAATTTCTTTATGTGAGCAAGGTTGGAAGCCTTTTTACCAATCAGAGGGCCAGCAAATTTGGACGGGAAAGAGAGGTGAACTTTCACTTGCATCTGAAATATCATAGTAAATGAGTACAATCTAGTTTTAACACAAGACCCAAGTGAATTTGTGCCATACTACGTTTTTCAAAAGAATGCTGCACTTAAAGTGCACATGACAGATGTTTTTTTTTTTATCTTCTCGATGAAATCTACACGAGATTATAATATGGAAAAAATAACGAGGAAAGTTGGTTATCGTTGTTGTTGTTTTTTTTTTTCACCACGTTTTAGCCATCTGAAAACATGAAATTTCACTTCTAGTTGGGTCAGAAACAAAGGTGGTTAGGACCTGGGACTAGTCAGGTTGTGACATCAAAACTAGAAAGTGAGAAATGTAACTGTAAGTAAAAATGACCACAGTTAGAACAAAACTACCTGTTGTAGATGCATATATCCTTGAGAAACATTTCCAAGTATTCCTTGAAACCAGTAAGGTACAAATGGATTGTTCTGCAACAACATTAAAATGTACTGTAACTAGGGAAATCACAGACAGGTATATGGAACACCTCTGTGTAAACAGAAGACTGCAAGACACTCTTTCAGGGGGCATTTTTTAAACTTTAGAGAGACATATCATTGCAAGTATAGGTAGTGACCCGTTCAGTGACTGAAAGGTCTTATTAATTATTATTTGAGAACATCTGTTGGTATTGGCATAAAAGACTGCGACAGGTTTTTCATCTTAGCAGGGGATGGAAAGAAGAGAAATGCTAGAGCCAGGGTACAAAGAAACTTAAGTCTGCAAACAATTGACATAAGGAAGAAATGGCATATAAGCAAAATAGCATTTAATGAGCAAACATCTTATTTGTTTATAGGAACATGGAATATCCAATTGTAGGACTACCAATGAAATTCAGGATATCAGGAAAACTGCTTCTAAAAACTCATATATCTACCCATGCAAGTTCCTGTGTTATTCCATAATATTATAGCTATCTCAGACAATCTATAATGGGTAATGTGGATTACTGCTTCTCCAACACTTTAAATAATACCTAAGAGTACAATAAGAGTATTACACATAACTGTACTCACTGGTTGAGGGTTGTAGGAAGGTGGTCCCATTGGAGGCCACTGCCCATGAGCAGGAGGTTGTATATAACCCTGCTGTGGGTTTTGACGCTATAGTTTATGAGTAATAATAATAATAACAGCAATGATGAAATTGATAAAAAATAAACGCAGTATTCAAAATAGAGGAAAATCTACACACTACATTTGTGCTGTCTTATCTAAGCCAACAAAGAATTTAAAAGCTTCAGTTTTAAACGTTCTCGGGGTATTACAGGTGCACAGTTTTTCGGGAATGTTGTTCCATTCCATTCCAACAGTGTATTGGAATGCGGACTGACTCATTGCAGTTTTGGTTCTCAGGAGATGAAGTTCCCTACATGTATTAGCACAATTAAATACTGAAATGTGTATTGATTTTATTATTTATATCTAGATTATAGATTATATAGACTACTCCTTATATCCTTAAATACCTGTAAATGAAGAGAAATTAAAAACAGCCGCTCACTTAGTGATCCAAGAACAAGTTGCAATAAAATTAACTTCGATGATTGCTTTTGTTCTACAAACCTCTCTCACAATGCTTTTGAGGCAGTCATATGCTTTAGAACTGATCATGTGTTCTGCTTGACTACATTTTGAAAGTGCACCCTCTTCCAGTGAACTAAGCATGGTGTCTTCCTCTAATGTTAACTGTTCTGGTGGAATTTGATACTGTATTGTTATCACTCTATCCAATTGATATAATGGCTCTTCCCTACAGCCTCCCCTGTAAAACAAGTCTCCCCTGCAAAACAAAGAAAAAATAAAAAGTTCAGCACAGTCAAAGGATTGACAACTAACTCTGGTGTAAATAATAATAATAATAATAATAATAATAATAATAATAATAATAGTAATAATAATAATAATAATGAACCAGCTACTGTGACAGAAAGCCAAACAGCGACTATACTTTGGGACATGCCAATCCAAACCGACAAAGAGATAAAAGCAAACAGACAAACAATGGAAAAACTCACAAAATACAAAGATCTTGAGACTGAAATCAAGAAAACGTGGGGGATGAAAACAACAACTGTCCCAGTGATCATTGGAGCTCTCGGGCTTGTCAAGAAGGGAACAGAAAACTACATCGGCAAGATCCCACGCAATATTGGAATAACAGAGCTACAGAAGACCGTCCTCCTTGGAACTGCTCACATACTTAGGAGGACTCTATCCATCAAGTAATCCAGCAGACTTATGACTGCTCTAGGCTCACGGATTGAACTTGGCACCATAAGTTAAAAGCAGCAAGACTTTAAGGACTTATAATAATAACAACAACAACAACAACAACAACAATAATAATATTAGATTTATATAGCGCTAAAATTATAAAGTATTCGAAAGCGCTTTACAATGCAAGATTAAGATTACAGTAAAAATTTAAGAAAAATGTGTTTACAAATAATACAATTTAAAAAACATTATAAGACTATGGCATGCTATACACTAATTTAAAAAAAGTGAGTAAACCATAACAAGCCTGCAAATAACAGTCGGTCATCGGACAACTGTCTGGTAAATTTGAGGTTTTGACGGGTAAAAGCTTAGCCTGGTCGGACAGTCTGACCGGGTATTTCTACTAAAATGAAAAATATTTTAACTGAAAATTTGTGGCCGAATATGGGACAAGTTATTTTGTTATACTGCCACACAATACTATGCAAAAAAGCTTTGTTATGGGTTTCGCTTTCATTCCAATTCTAAGAATTTTATCACGCGCGGTGCGTTGTCTCGAATGTTATAATTATGTCGAATTGTAAACACATCACATCAGCGCCACTATCCCTACATGTTAATTTACGCATATTGCAGTGGYGTTGTGAAAGATCATGAAGCCCCATTTAGTCTGAATTACGTTCATCTGAAAAACTACTAAAAACTGAGGTCTTATGTAATTACTCGTTGTTTGTTGCTACCAAGTGTTGTGGAATTAATTTTCAGTCATAATACATTGACCCGATTATAATAGTATGGAAATTGAATACACGGCTCAAATACTCACGTTTCGTTTATTTGAATGCAATCGCTTTCAAAAACTTTAAAACCTCTAAAACGTAACCAAATGTTTTTCTAGTCCGTATGATCAAAAATCAGTTTAATTTTTAACTCTTATAGTTTTTTTTACATCTGTCATTGTGGTTGAAATATAGTTTCCGTACCACAGAAATGTTTTTGTGAAAAGCGTGAATGTACAGATTAGTCACGCTTTATAGTCACGACCACCTTCAATTCCACATTTTAAATAATTATGCAAATTTTTTATTCAATTGACCCCACAAACATCCAGAGGAAACTTGCTTTCAGAAAAAGTCGAAGAATTCATCTCAGCCAATTTTCAAGTCTCTGAAGGTCCACGCGGGAGATTGTTTCATCGCTTTTCCCGTTTTCCTCAGACGTCTTGGGAAACTTGTTACGTTGGAAACGCTTGTGTGACTAGGGGTACAAACGTTTGTAAATTTGTCAATTTTCAACTGGTAAAATAATACCAGAAGTAATGTAAAGGTCCCCTTGCTGGTGCTAGTAGCGATTTTACACTCAGTTGACTTATAAGCTTTTAGAATTTACAACCAATATTTTGGCGAAGAGTCTACACTAAAATACCAAAATGTCTTAAATGTCTCTTTTTAATTTCTAACAACAAACAATTTTTTTTGTCCAACCAGACTGGCTTTTTGTCAGGTCAAAACTGGTCCTTGTCCTGACAAATGACCTGCCTATAGACAAAATTTAGTTGCGGGCTTGCATAAGGTTTAATGTTTTCAGCACGAGGAGAACTGGTTTTCACAAAAGGGCAAAACCTTTTGAAGGAAGCTTTTTATAAGAAAAACTTTCCTGTAGATGATCAAACCTGGCATGCAAAATCATCCACACGGCTGGTCAATTGGCCCGGTGTCCGGCCCTTAACAAAATCCCTGTTATGAATGACTAACATTTACATGTACCATCCAACAAAAATGAGAGCAAAACTCAAAAAAGGTGCCCACATCCAAAGTGACCCCTACTTTGCAGGAGCGGCCTCAGCTACTTTTATCTGGTGAGTCATAGATGTTGTTCAGTTTCTCTCCATATAATATGCATATTATGTCAGAAGTAATTTCAAAATCTTTACTTCCATACATAACATAAGCATTTCATACTACAAATTGTG